CCCCAAAACCCCAAAACCCCAAAACCCCGTGAGGATAAGATCAGCATGAGAAAAGAAAATCTCTGAACTTAACAAAATTAGAAAGATGACACTCTGCTTTATTAAACGTTAGAATTAAAATAAAATATATCATTTTTACTTCAGATATTATTATCTCCTCCATTCTTTCTGTATTTCCCTGCACGCTGACCCCCTGCATCATCTTCTTGAGTCTAGTTAGAGATGATTTCATTTGTGAAAGGGTTTTGTCGGTATAGCTAAATTAATTCATTAAAAATGTCAAATTTACTTAAGAAGATCTAATTAAGCCGAAAATTCCTAAGCCAATTGTAATAAGGTATATTAGATCTTGTACTACAGCTAGGAAAATTGAAAAGCCGAGATTGCATTCAGAAAGCACACTTATCTTTGTCCATCCATCAAAAGGACCAGCCCTTATAATTGAGAAAATAAACCAAGCAATGATTAAGATGACCTGAGTAATTCTATAGATCAGAAGCTTTCTACTGTGACTAGGGGCTTAGCATATTGCATAGTAACCAGCAGAGAAACTGTATATGGAGGCAAACGAGAATATCGGAACATCTATATATTGCAGGTTAATTTTGCGAATTATTTGTAATAGTCAGATTATTTACTTAAAAGAGAGTAGAGAACAATTATGTTAGGTATTTGATCGCAATCAGTTGATATCTCGATAATTACATTCAAAACTATTATGAAATCATAAGAATATAATTTTGCTTACGATTTAAAAGTGTATTCACTAGAATTAGAATCGCACAAGCATGCATCTTCTTTGCTAGGCTCCTAAAGGGATCATTTAATTGATCAGTGGAGTAATGTATGAGTTTGAAGAGGGGAGGGTAGTTGTAATTTTGCCAGTTAATTGGACTATTTTCAGCACCTGAACCTTATCCCTCATAGCCTGAGTTATCATTAGACTCTATGCCAAGATTATCCTTGACTCCTTTGATAGCTTGCTTTTAGAATTGCTTCGCCACATTTTTTCTCAAATCTACCATTTTAGGAAATTAAACAATGAATAATTGAATTTTAAATTTATACCCACCTTAAGTCATCATTCTTCGAAGAGTCAATAATATAATCAGGGGTTTTGGGGTTTTGGGGTTTTGGGGTTTTGGGGTTTTGGGG